GTAGTATTTTTGAACGTACGATAAGTATGAACTAAAAAAATGTCATTCCATACATAACGTATGCCCATTAAATCATCAATTTGTTTCTTTTTTACTATAAAAATAAAAATTTTATTTAGATTCTTTTACAATGGCAAGACAAAAATATTAGACAAAAGTTTGTAGCTCAAAACGAAGACTTCAATATACAGATAGCCAATTAAGAGATGCTATTAATGCTGTTAAAAAAGGTATGGTTGTGTACAAAGCAAGCAAGACGTTTGGAATTCCTTATCAGACGCTTCGTGATAAAATATCTGGAAAAACTTCTCTGAAGATACAACACTGCGGTTATGAATCGGTACTAGGTGAACACCTTGAAAATAAATTAGTCGAGTGGTTACTAACATGCACCAGAATGGGATTTGCCATGTCTGTAGTACAGCTAATAAATACTGTGCAAAAATACATGAATTCCAACAATATAAAAACACAATTTACTAACAACCGTTCTGCAAAAGGTTGGTTTTATGCATTTCTTTGCCGTCATGAACAGTTATCTCAAAAACGAGGTGAATACTTAAACCGAGCTAGAGGAGGAGTAACTGAAAAAGCCATAAGAGATTGGTTTTCTGAAATTCCAAAGCTTTTAGGAGAAAACGCCTAATATTTAAATGATTCGATGCGCGTTTTCAATATGGATGAGAGTGGTTTTTAGTTGTCACCAAAAACTAATTTATTAATTGGTGAACTAGGAAAAAATACTTATGAAGAAAGTGGTCGAAGTAATAAAAAAAGCATCACCACTTTATTTGCAGTAAATGCCAGCGGAACCTTTGCTTTACCATTAATAATTTTTAAATATGTTCGTCTTCCAAATAGAATTATAAATACTGTTCCATCAGGATGGGGTATTGGAAAAAGTGAAAATGGTTGGATGACCACAGAATGTTTTTTTGAGTATATTACAAACATTTTTCATCCATTTTTGATAAAAGAAAAAATTCCTTTACCAGCTATTTTTTTTTTGATGGTCATGCGTCACCTTTTTCTATCAAACTTAGTGAATTTTGCTCTAAAAATGGAATAATTCTCGTTGCTTTGTTCCCAAATGCAACACATATTTTGCAGCCGCTCGATGTGGCAGTTTTTGGGCCAATGAAAGCAAAGTGGAAATCTTTATGCCGACAATGGCGCATTGACCATGAAGGACAAGAAATAAACAATGAAAATGTACCAGGAGCATTAAATTCATTTATAATTGATCCTTCTATGGCAAATAATGTTAAAAGTGGTTTTAAAAATACCGGAATATTTCCATTTGATGCTAATGGACTACACAAAAATTGTTCAAAGACTATCTGAGTCAACTGTGGCTCCGACTCCTTATTTAGACTCCTTTATCAGTTTCCTCTCCCATAAACTTTATTGAAAACTTCATTGATCCAAGTATTTTAGAGCAGTTTAAAATAGCTGACGAACATTTAGGTTGGAAAGGTGACCTTGAATATCTCCAGCTGTATCTTTTTTGGAAAAGAGCCTCATCTGAAACATATAAGACCACAATTTTACCTGATGAAATACAACAGGGTAATAAAAATCTATCAACAACTTGTAATTTAGAAAATGTGCAAATTATAACTGGTATGGAAATACCTTATTGCAACATTGCAGCGGATATAGAACCAAAACCAGCTTGTTCTAGTTTAAAAATAGCAGCAGAAATCATAAGTCCGATTAAAATTGTTTTAATATGGCCAAAACAACCAGTCCAAACGTCCAAGCGCAAAATAGAACGTTTACCATCGGTTGTAACATCTGAAACATGGCAGCAAATTCAAAAGACAAAATTGCAAGAAAAGTCGCTAATAAATGATGAAAAATTAAGAAAGAAACAATTAGCTGCATATAAAAAGTCAAAAATAGAAAAATAAAGATTAAGAAAGAAACAAATGGCTGTTGAGAAAAAGTTATTTAATGAAAAAACTAAAAAAGAAAGAGAAAACATGAAAATTTTGAAAAAGAAAAATAAAGTCGCAAAAAAAAAAGTAAGCCTTGAAACTGAGTCAGAAAACGAGTTCCATCGTTAGCAATAATTATAAAATAAGACTAAAATAATTATAATGAAACTCTATCCATTACAGTTTAAAAGATTTGTACTAAAGTAATGAAAATGCTTTAAAAATCTTTAGTTTTAATTCAAAATAATATTTTCATTACTGTTTATTTAATATGTATTTTTTTAATTTATATACCTAAAAACGTTTAATAAAATGTTATTAATGCATTAAATTTTCATTTGAAATCGCGAGCGCATTATAAACCAGTCACTAACCCAGCAAACATGTAAGCGTTGAATCAACGTTGAAAACCAGTCGCAGCTTAGAAAAAGCGTTACAGTCACAAAAACAACGTGCTTTCAACGTTGAATCAATGTCTGTTTTTGTATACTAAATCGCGCTAAATTAAAACGTAGAATAAGCGTTGAAATTGTAACGTAATTTAGCCTCTCAAAATTAAACGTTTATTCAACGTGGAATCAACTTACGCAAAAAGCCACTTTAAAAACGTTTCGAAGTATATGCTTTATCAACGTTAAAAACAAACCGCTTTTTAAACGTTACATTTTCAACGTTGAATAAGCGTATAAATTTAAACGTATCTTATCTTCTAAAAAAAATGCGTTTATTAAACGTTGAAAATAAGTACGCAAATAATCACTGTAAAAACGTCGCAAAGGTAATGGTTTATCAACATTAGACATTAGCTGCTTTTTCAACGAATTTAAACTATTTGAAAAACAACACTTATTCAACGTTATTTCAACGTTGGTTGAAAATGTGCTAATTAAAAAACGTTGAAAAAGTGTTACTTTGCCAACGTTAATAAAACGTTGATATGACAATGTTGAGGAATTATTTTTTGATTTAGATTCTGTATCTCAATGATATCCTGGCTTATCGATACGATATCCTGTAAATCCACTCACACACATAAATTTTACTCACACACGTAAATCCTGTAAATTCACTACTTATATTTTTATCTATAAATTGTAAATTTTATATAAATAATTTATATAATTTTCATGTTTTTCATTGTATATTACTATTTGTATTAAAGTCGACTTTGGAAATATTGCAAATGCAGAGTTCAACATACAATTTTGTTTTACTTGCAAATTCAATATACATTATAATTAAGTTTAATCACGTTTAATAATATTTTGCGATATTTTCTCCAGCGCATTTGAGCGTTGATTTAACGTTATATTTCAACCTTTACTCGACGTCTTTGAGTCACGTTAAATCGACGTTTTACTACCAACGTTACAAATCTTTGCAAAATCGACTGCTTTAACAACGTTAAAGTAACGCTTTTCAAGTAACGTTTTTTCAACTTTAAGTTGCGGCGCTTAATTTGCAACGCTTTTTAAGTAACGCTTTTTCAACGTTTAGTTGAGACATTTTTGTAACGACTTTTAGTAACGTTTTTTCAGCGTAACGCTACAACGTTTAATCAACGTCTCTTTAACAACGTGACATATCTTTGCAAAATCGATTACTTTGTCAGCGTTTCCGCAACACCTTTTGCGACCGGTTTTCAACGTTGATTCAACGCTGACATGTTTGCTGTGAAAGCAGATTTTAAGATATACGATAAGTATCAACAATATATACGATAAGTGTGAAACACTTACGATAAGTATGGAAAACTGCTCTTTAAAAGTTTGATAAAAATAAGTACATTATTGATTTAAATTTCAGAGTGAGAATAATTTTAAACTAACCCTTATAGCACTACATTGATGGCTGCAAAAATTCATTTCTAATAAATTTCTACTTTTTGAGTAATCTAACATAATATAATAACTTTTGTTAAACTCACGGTAAGTGTGGAAACCACCCTATACTAATTTATTTTGTATTTGTCATTTTAAGACCTAAAGTAAGATAGGGCATCCATTAAACTTTTGGACCCGGGCATCACAAAAGCTCTGGGCGGGCCTGTATATATATATATATATATATATATATATATATATATATATATATATATATATATATATATATATATATATATATATATATATATATATATATATATATACATATATATATACATATATATATATATATATATATATATATATATATATATATATATATATATATATATATATATATATATATATATATATATATATATATATATATATATATATATATATATATATATATATATATATATATATATATATATATATATATATATATATATATATATATATATATATATACACACGTTATAATATATTACAGAAAAACAAAACAAAAAAACGTTAAGAGTGTTAACAAAAATACACAAGGTATTTACATTCAAACTATCAATAGTAATTTCTTTTTTTTGTAAAAAATTTAAAACAACCATCGTGGATGCCATCAGCCAATGTTATGTATGTTTTATCTTTTATCTATATTTTCTTAATTATTACTTTATTAGTTAATAATTCGTATTTTACTAAAGTAAAAAACACTATTATGATAAAATTAGATTTATTATTGCAAATATTCCAATAAATTTTTGCCAATCCCATTAAATTTTCGGTCCTCTTATCTTTTGACAACAAAACTATACTCTGCAAAGCTTTATCTGATTTCAGCAAGTTTTTTAACATTCCAAAAAAAGATAACTCGTTGATGAATTTATTAGTTTTAAAAGTATTATTAATCAAATTGTGAAATCAATCAATCCATTTGCGTCATTACATTTTGATTCGTGGAAATTAATTAGAAAAATAGAAATACTTATGTATTATAATACTATATTTATTTGGTATAATAAAAAGATTTAAAAGGTTAATCCTTTTAAATCTTTTTATTCTACTCAATTGATTTTTTATATTTCATCTTTATATCTATAGAAAGCAAATATTTCAAAACAATGATGGGGTTGCTGTATAACTATATTCAATTGGTTTAAATATAATCTAATTAACTCGTCATTATATTTCTCGTAAATATATCAGTTATTGGTTCATTTACTCATTCAAGATTCAACAGCACTTCTAATTAGTTTCTGGAAATATTGTATTTATAAAATGATTTGGATAATATTTGTTTTTCTTTTAACATTGCAATTTAAAGAAAGTTCAACTCAGGGTTAGTTTTTTTTACATAATTTGTTATTGATTTCCTAAAAGTTAATATAATATAAAGTCAATATAAACGTGGAATAAAATTATTACTATAACATTATAAACTGATTTTACACATTAAAAAAATTTTTTTTGCTATCCTTTTACTATAGTATTTGATATAAAGAACTAATCACTAAAAGTTTCCTACATCTGTCCAACAACATCTGTAGAGTTGTCCAATATTATCTGTACGCTTTTATCCAAGATCAACTGTATTTTTTTAAAATCCAACAACATCTTTCTAATATCAAATAAAAATTCAATGATCCTAAACAAAATCTTTAGGAAAATGTAAAATCTGGTAATTTTTCTTTAAATCCAATAACATTTGGAAGAATTTCCTTCAGATGTAATTACACCTAAAAAAAAGACTTATATTTAACTACGTCTGATTAAAATAATGCATTTATATTTATTATTTTTTTCAGATGTAACTAAATCTGAAAAAAACCATATATGAAACTCTGTTTAAAATTATAGTTTAATAGTTTTATAAAATCAGTTGTTATATTTAATATAATTGAAAAGATGAACTATGTCTGTAAAATCTGTAATTATCAGAGATAGCGGTTTTATAAAAACATCAATATCATCAGCTTATCAACTGAAAGTTACAAACATAAAATTAGAAAATGATAACACAAAATTAGAAAATGATAAAAGAGCAGCCGTGGCGCAGTTGGCTCAGAACCCAGAGGTCCGAGGTTCGACGCCAGCTTTAGCCCAACAAGCGATATTGGTACAGAAGGAGGCGTGAACTTCCTGTTAAATGCCTACCCGCGGTGCTCTATAATAAACCGTAAGGACTTCAAGGAGCACTTAAATGCATACAAAAAAAATAATAATAATAATAATAACTTTATTAAAGATAACCTAAACTTGAAGATAGGAGTCGCCTAATTAGTTCGCGGACGCCAACTTGCTACAAAGTAAAAGAAAGTATGCTAAAGATACTCAAATACATACATAATACATTAATTTCACGTGATTTTAATTTTTAAATTTTATTTTATTTCATAGTTATAAAATTATTTAAATTCTGAAATGAATTCGAACCAACTAATTATTTTCGATTTAATTTTGTTTAACTTTTTTCAAACTAATATTTTTTTATTTGATAATGAATCCTATCTTGACATAAATTATTTTAGCGAAGCTGGTGCTCTGCAAAACTTTTATAACAATGAGTTGAAAGATTTTATTAAAAAGGATTCTTAACATTATCTGTTTAATAATACCAAGGACGTATTAATAGATGGAAGTTTAACGCATTGCTATAGATCTTAGGCGCCGCGAGTAAACAAAAAACTAATTTTTAGCGTCATTTTTCTGAAAAATTTAAAAAAGTAAACCGACGTTTTTCCGATATTTTTGCTTTTTAACTACTTTTTTTAAAAAGTGCAATTACCTATAAAACTCAAATTTTTTTTTAAATTTAATGTATTTAAGTTAATCAGAAATAGCTCATCTGCTTTAAAATGTCAAACTTGATACGTAAGCGCTTTTTAATAAGAACTTGTTATTAATACAACTTAGACGTCAAAAATCGTATTTTTGTTAAAAAGTGATGTGTAGTTTGCAAGAATGAATACTGCAAAGTGAAACGAATTTTCTAGATGTTGTATGTAAAACTGTCGATCATTTTTAGATCGAACTATAGATTACTTGTGGTCTGTATTCCCTACACTTAGTTATCACGGTACCCTTGGCAGCCATTGCAAACGAGGCAACGGCGAGAAAGAGTTGCAGCAGCTTTGTTTTATAAGAAAACGTGAACGAACGTGTATCCAAATATCTAACTTACGTAAACTTTAAATTAAGTAATGTTAAAACATATGTTAAAACATACTGAAACATTTATCAAGTTTTACAGTTTGATTTTCATTTAATAATTGCGTTGCGCCAAGCTCTGCTTAATTTTGATCTATAACCATTTTTCCCATAAAAAAAGTCATTATATTGTTTTAAAAATACATGCTTGAATAATCCAGTGTGGCCGAGTGGATAGGTGCCAAGTTTCTGAGCAAGTAAGACGAGGATCGAATCTTACGACTGGCTACTTTTTTTTTTAATTTTTATTTTTTGATTATTTTTAAAATGAAAAATACTTTTGAAGTTTTATAAAGATTATATACAAACATATATAACGATATTATACACTTTTACGAAGGAAAAGATTTTAAAAAAGCTAAATTTTCATAAAACATCAAAAAAACATCAGCGGAAGAAAAATTTGTTACCTATGCGTCATGATTGAGATACCTATGTTATTAATGTGCTCAGGTAATTAGTCCTGATAAGCTGCGTATGGTCTTAAAAAAAATTTATCTGAAACTTAATGAAAAAAAAATTTATAAGAAAGTCCTGCTACTTAAAAATGTGCTGTTGTGAGGCAAAAAAATAACTTAAAAAAATAAAACTCTAAAACTTTCTTTTGACAATTAAAAGTTTATTTTGCTACATTTACTTTTTTACTATAAATATATGCTGCAACTTAAAGTTGAGGATAAAACATTTGAAATAAAAGTTTGTATATATATATATATATATATATATATATATATATATATATATATATATATATATATATATATATATATATATATATATATATATATATATACACACATATATATATATATATATATATATATATATATATATATATATACATATATATATATATAAATATATATATATATATATATTTATATATATATTTATATATATATGTATACATATATATATATGTATATATATATATATATATATACATATATATATATATATATATATATATATATATATATATATATATATATATATATATATATATATATATATATATATATATGCATATTTATATAATTTATGTATAAATATATATATATATATATATATATATATATATATATATATATATATTTATATATATACATATATATTTATATATATATATAACTTGCCTTCAGTCAAAATTTTTTAGTGTCTTGAACCCTTGTTCGTATTTGAAGTTTTGTTTCACCAACATATATTTTGAGCATTTGCACTTAGTTAAATAAGTTCCTGAGGTGCTGTTGCGTGGTAATTTAGACTTATTTTTAGACGTTAATAGCGTTTTTAGGTTAGCATTTGATTTAAAAATAGTTCTGTAACCAGCTTTTCTGAACATTCTTTTAAATCCGAATTAAAAAAAATACCTACAAAAAAATATAAATATATATATATATATATATATATATATATATATATATATATATATATATATATATATATATATATATATATATATATATATATATATATATGTATATATATATATATATATATATATATATATATATATATATATATATATATATATATATATATATATATATATATATATATATATATATATCATGGCTTACTTAAATACACGGCCTTCTAATCTGCTTAAATCAAAAAAAAATAGAAGGCCAGTTGAAATAACGTATATTCTATTATATGGACAGACTCTCTCAAAATAATTTAAATATTGCGCTATAAATGTTAAGTAAGTAAATCTGACACCGGATAAAAGTTTTTGCGTTAGATTAATGCCAAACTGTATTGTTATTTGTGACTACTTTTTAATTAATAATAATAATAATGGGTAATAAATGCTGTGTTGTTGGTTGTACCTCTAATTATAATGGTGGTGAAGTAGTCCCAGTTTTTGGTTTTCCAAAAGATGATGACTTAAGAAAGTTATGGGTTAGATTTGTAAACAGAAATTTCTGGACTGTCACTAAATCATCTGTGATCTGTTTAAAACAATTTGATGAAAATTTAATACACAAAGGAGCATCAGCAAAACGATTTCGTTTGTTGTATAATTTGAAGCCTGTTCCTACAATATATACGGCTAACACATCAACGGCTTCACTTCCAGTTATGTCTGTACCAAGAAAATCACCAACTAAAAGAATTTTTCAAGAAGATGAATATCAGAAATTTTTATCAAATGATGTTATTGAAGATCTTAATTCTCTTACAGTTGCTGATTCACCAACAGGATATTCATTTTCCAAATTTGATGATTGTGTTGTGTTCCATAAAATTATTCAAAATGAATTTCACATACCTCAAGTTGCTGAATGTATTCGTATTGACAAAAATCTTCACGTTAAACTTTTTTATAAAAATCTTCCAGTTTCTTTACCACCTTGGTTTAGAGTAACCCACCAATGTGTGTTAAAGAGAAGGAGTATGCTGGAAAACTTCAATTCGCATTTTAGCATCGAAAAAGAGAAGCTGTCTTCTATTCTTGAAGAACTTAAAAGTCACCAAGTAAAAAAAAATTAAATTTATTCTTCAAATATGCTTCAACTTGCCTTGATGCTGTGTTACACATCATTGCAAACATATAATTTACTGCTGAAGGAATTCCCACTTCCATCTATATCACTGTTAGGCAAGCTTAAAGCAGGTGAAATTGATTCTATGAAAGTTTTAAAGTTGTTACATGAAAATGGGAGCTTGTCAAAAGATCTTTTAATAATTTTCGATGAAATGTATTTTCAAAAATGTGCTGAATATTCTGGCGGAGATATAATTGGGATTAGTGAGGAAAATGAATGTTATAGAAGCATTGCTTCCTTCATGGTAGTTGGTTTAAAAGAAAATATCTCTTGTGTCGTCAAAGCAGTTCCAATTATAAAATTAAACAGTGATTGCTTGAAGACTGAAATTCTTAATCTGATTCAATCTTTGATAAAAAATAGTTTTAATGTTCGAGGTGTTGTTTGTGACAATCATGCTTCAAATGTTTCCTCTTTTACAAAGTTGCTTAATGCACATGGTAAAAAACCTGATGATTTGTTTATTAATGTACAATCGCAAAAAATTTACCTATTCTTTGACACAGTACATCTGATTAAAAACATTCGAAACAACTTACTAAATAAAAAAAGGTTTATTTTTCCAGAATTTCATTTTTTA